CTCCCCACTTCAGGGCTATCTCTGGTCTGGGGAGGAGGCAGGACTCAGCCTTTGCTCTGGCCACACGTCCTCAGACGCTCCCCTTCTCATAGCCTTGCCCACTGCCGTGTCCTATTCTGCAGGTGCGCTTCTGTCTCTCCTCTCTTCTCTGCACTGGTTTCCTCTCTCCAGAGCAGGCTTCTCTGCACTTGCCCTCACTCCTGTCTGCCCCCCTCCCGCTGCGCCCTCTTCCTGTCCTGGGAGGGGGGAAAGGAGAAAGCACAGCATGGCCGGTTGAGTCAGCCCTGGAAATCTCAGCCTCCACACCCCAGGTCCCTCCGCAGAACCCCCAGTCCAAGGGCCCAGACCCCTCACAGAGCGCAGAGAAGGTGGTGCCTCATCTTGCCAGGGCCGAGGGGCTTGGCAACATGAAGTCGCAGGCCCAGGGAGAGTGGTCCCCACCTGTGTTTTCCTCTGGCTCTCCTTACCGTAGGAGAAGCCAAGCCTTGGAAGCCATGTAGGAGCTGAAATATAACAGGCCAGCTCATCTGGGTGGGAATCTCCCCTTAGCCACATGCTGGCTCTTTTACCTTGGGCAAGTTGCTCAGCCTCTCTGAGCCTCAGTTTCCAGCTCTGTAAAATGGGGCCAGTAATGCCCATCCAAATAGTGTTCTTGCAGGTATAAGAAAACCAAGAAAGTGAAAGGATCCAGTCAAGTCTATGACACAGGCAGGATCAGAATAGATTTCAGCATCTTCCCCTCTAACTTTCCCCAACAGCCAAGCCAGAGCCTTGGAGAAGTTCCAGCAATGGGCAGGAGCCCAATGCTCTGTCCCCCAGGTATGGTATGAGGATCCCACACTAACCGCTAGCTGCTGGGAGTGGGGAGGAAGGAGAGGTGGTCTCTTCCTTCAGGCTGGTGATTTGGGTCTAGTAGCTTCCATCCACCACAGTAGTGGGGCTGCCCTTAACCAGTGCCCAGAGCAGCTTAATCTTTAGGGTGAGAGTGCCTTTGACTTAGTCCATGACAACTCGGAGACCCCCCAACTTAAATCTTTAAGGTGTTAGGGCATTCATCACCTCGTCTTTCAAGTAGGGTTCCCAGACCCTTCTCTGCCTGTGATGGTCTGCACCCAGGACAGTGGCAGGTGTGAGGAATGGCAGAAACAGTCTGGGCTCTGGGGGTGACGGAATGTTGCAGAATCTTTGCCTTTCGATATGTCCAGCCTTGTGGGGAAATGGAGAGGCTTCAGAGCTCCTTCGGTCAAGGGTCAGCAGAGTCACGGGGTGATCCCCATCCAGCCTAGCCCTGCTGGACAGGAGGCCGTGAGGTCCAGGAGGCCCCTGGAGGAGGCAGGGACATCTGAGGCCTGAGTAAGAGGAAGGGGTGGGTTCAAGGCCACACCACTAGAGTTCTGACCAGATCGAGGGCCAGGTCCTGGAGGGAGTTGGATGGACACAGAGAGGGCCTCCTGTGGGGGGGACAGCCAGTTCAGAACTAGAGGGAAGGAAGCAGGTGCCCCGTGGGACACCAGGTGGAGCAGCGTGGCTGTTTGGGAGTTAGGAGCTACCTGATGAAGGGCCGCTCCCGCTGGGCCTCACCCTCCAGCTATAGGCAGCAGGACTCGGAGCAGGTGGTGCCCATGGGGACCAAGTGCCCTCTGCGTGTCGGGCTCTGGGGGTGTCTTTCAGTAGCTGGTGTCTGGACCCTGAGAAAGCAGGACTGCCGGGATCATCCATGTTGCCCTCCGTCCCTGTTCTGGGTTGCAGTTTACAGATGGGAAGCCCGGGGCCGGGCCTGACTCCGCAGCTGGAGAGGAGGGAACACGGCGTGTCCAGTCCCTGCAGGCCGTGGAGAGGGCTGAGAGGCAACTCGCCTTTCACCTCCATGGCTGGAGCTCCTTGGGGCTTCGGAGAGGAAACAGCTTGCTGCCACGCCCGCCCTTTTAGCCAGCCGGCAAGCAGGACTCGTGGCCCTCAGGCCTGGCTGTGTGCCCTGGTCTGTGCCCCGGGCCTCTCCGGGCCTCAGTTTCTCCATCTGGAACGTGAGAGCGGTTGGGTCAGCTGTCTGCTCTGTCCTTCCTGCTCAAACGTGGTGTCCTCTTGAGTTGGGGAGCTGGAGCCGCCAGAAGGGACAGGCCAGAGCCCCCAAGGGACGGGGGAGAGGCGGTGAAGAGGAGAGCTCTACCTGCGCTTCTCTACCCGGAGCTGCTCATGGGACAGAAGCTGTGACCCTCGTGAGGTGGGGGGTGCAGGTGTGAAGCTGCTGGGGAGAGGACAGGCTGCTCGGAGGCCTCTGGCTGCCCAGGGACGCCCGAGGGGTCACCCGTGGGCAGGGCAGTGTGGCCACAAGAGGGGGGAAGAGGCTGTTCAGGGTGTAATTAATGCACTTTCTGGCACCCACCAGATTTCCCTTTCCTCTTGACAGTTTGCTGCCAAAACAGTCCCGATTCCTGTGAACTTGCTTAAATCTTATCCAGAAAAAAAAAAAAAAAGAAAGAAAAAAGAAAAAAAGAAAAGAAAGAACGGGGGGGAGAAATGAAGAGGGTTGTTATTTGTGAAATTGCATTTCCCAGCCATGAGGGTGAGTCACACCATTTGGAGCTTGGAGTTTCTTGTTTGGATGAACTTTTCTCCGGGAGGCCGTGGTGATGCTGTCCTCCCTCAGGCCAGTTTGGGTGAGGAGGGGCCTCCACTCAAGCTCAGGAGAAACCTGGGTGGGTGGAAAGTCCAGGTGCTCCTGAGGCCAGGTAGGGCCAGGCGGTCTGGACAGACTGCCCCGGGGAGCTTGAACATGCAGATCTGGGCTGGGGGAGGGAGGAGCGGGGAGTTAGTGTGTCAGCGGGAGAGAGTTTCAGTTTGGGACGATGAAAAAGTACTGGAAATGGATGGTGGTGATGGTCTCACAGTCACGGGAATGTACCCGGTGCCATGGAACCGTATGCTTAAAAACATAATTAAAATGGTCAATTTTATGTAATGTATTTCTTACCACAGTAAAACGGTAGGTTCTAGGCTCTCGGTCCCAGGTGACTGACTGCTTTGGTAGGTAGATCTGAAGTGGGGCCTAGAAAACTGTATTTATTAAAAGTTTCTCAAGGCGTTCAATACAAGTTTGGACATTCTTGCCTCATCTGTAAAATGGGACAGTGACTCATAGGGTTGTGGTGAGCATCAGCTATCTTAGTAAGTGTACAGTTTCCAGTACCTGGGACATTGTAAGTGCTCAGTAGATGTGACGGGTATCATCGAATCCCATGGCCATTGGACCCCTCCGCACGCTCCTTAAGGTTGTCTGGAATCGGCTCGCACACCTCCAGGGATGGGAGACCGTCTTCCTGTCAGGATGGACCACTCTCTCTTGGCTCCTCTGAGAGCTGGAGAATTGCCCTCACACTGAATGCAAGTTTGTGTGGTATTTTCCACTGGTCCTGGGTTTCATGGTAGCCCTGGGCAGTGGTAGAGTGGAGATGGTCATCAGGAGCCTTTGAGTTTCGTGCCCAGACATCATAGGCTGACTGACTATGTGTTTGGCGTGGATGCCTTGGATGTGGTATCTGTGTCTTTTTTTTCCAGATCCTAGGCTCCAGTCTGAGCCTATAGGAGTGGGAAAAGAGGCCTGGAGAGGGAAAGGACTGGCCCCAGGCCACATAGCAGAGTGTCCAGGGAGCCAAGAAGAGTGGTGGTCCCCAGATGGTGAGGGCTGTGTCCTCTAGGAGGGAATGCCAGGCCCCCAGAGATGGAACAAATAGGGAGGCTGAGGTGTACATGTGTGAGGGGTGGCATCTGTCCTGGTTGGGGGAGGGGTACTTGATCTCCTGGGGCCTGCTCTCAGCTCCCCTCCCTCCCTGCCCACACTCAGGGGACACAGGCAGGACTGTGCCCACTCTGAACCTCCATCTGCCCCATCTTCGTAAGGGAGCCTAAGGCCACCTCCTCGCAGGGGCTCTCTTCCCCTAGCGGCCTGGGAACTTCCAGGAACAAGGCTGTCTTCCCATTAGACTCAAGGCTCCCCAAGGTCTATGGTTCCCTCCTGGAGTCCTTGAGCACCTGAGCTGGGACCAGAGGATGCCCAGGACCCGTGCCCAGGTTTGTCATTGACCCTCCTGCAGGAGCTGCCTCTTTACAACCTTGGCCTTTCCCCAGGAAGAGGGGACCATGGCTGTTCCCTGCCAGCTTCACCACAGGCCCCACCTTTGCCAAATTCCAGTGTGCCTGGCTGCCCAGAGCCCGTGACTCCTATAAATAGAGGCTGTATACACCAGGAGGGGGCCTGGGCCGCGTCTGCTTTGAAGCCAGGCAAGACATCTGGTTCCTGTCATCTGTGGGTGGGAGAGGTGGGAGAGGTGGGCCGCTCCCTCCCGGGCTCCCCGAGGGCAGGCCTGGGCCAGCCCCGGGGCTCCCCGGACACAGTCTGCACAGGCCTCGTGCCACAGGAGACCCAGCAGAGTGCTGAACCTCACTCTTCTCTTCTGTACAATGGAAACAATCCTACAAGCCGATGCTCCTCTCTCTTGTAAGATGGGGAAACGGAGTCAGCTCAGAGATAAGTGACTTGTTTAAAGCACTGGTAAAAGGCAGAGCCCCAGATCTAACAGGTTGCTTTCTACGACGCCTTCTTACCTCCTGGTGGTGTGTAAAGAACTAATAATCCTCCTCCTCCTCCTCCTCCTCCTCCTCCTCCTCCTCCTCCTCCTCCTCACTGCTTACTGAGTGGTTCCTAAGTGCCAGGTGGGAGATAAAGTGACCTCACTTTAGCCTCACAGGCACCCTAGGAGGTGGCCATCATTACTTCTGTTTTCCAGAGGGGGCGGTTCACTGGCTTGCCCGCAGACGGACAGCTACGGTTAGAATATGAACTCAGGCTCCAGGAGGCCGGAGCCCCCGGGCAGCTCGGGAGTCCGTGTGAATTCACGGGTGTGCATGTGCGTGCGCGTGCCCATGGATATTGCCCCGAGGCCACGGCTGCAAACGAGTGTGCCCAGGCCTGGGCAGCCCTCACAGCTTCTGTCCCCCCACAGGCGCCGAGCAGCAGCATGTACAAGAGCGCCTCGCCCTACGGCTCCCTCAACAACATCGCCGATGGCCTCAGCTCCCTCACTGAGCACTTCTCGGACCTGACCCTCACCTCTGAGACCCGCAAGCCCAGCAAGAGGCCCCCCCCCAACTACCTGTGTCACCTCTGCTTCAACAAAGGACACTACATCAAGGACTGCCCCCAGGTAAGGCGGCCCCGCTTCCCTGGGTAGAGCAGGCCGAACAGCCCCCCACCCCACACACTCCCCGCCCCAGGGCCCCTTCCACAAACAAGCGGCCCTGTGGCCCTCTGGTCTCCACCTTTTTCTCCCCTCTGGTATTTCTGAGGCCAGGTTGGCTGGTGTGGTCGGGACAGAGCCCCAGCCTGGGCCTGCCCTGGCTAGTGAGCAACTGCGGTGAGGGACGCGCAAATGAGGTTCCGGGCCTTCACGTCTCCACCAGTCTTCCTGCCAGGGTGCGTCCTGTTACAGTGGGGCAGGACGGGGGCCAGCAGCCTCCTCGCAGCTCTCCCGAGAGAGACCCCATCTCCTCACACTCACAGGGAAGGAATGCGGGCTCTGGGCCAGGAATCCAGATGTGTACCCCCTCCCCCAGACCCCACTTCTCCCTCCTCTGCTGTTGTGCTTCCTCAGTCTCCGGCCTGTGAGGGGGGAGGTGAGAGGTCCTTACCCCCCTCTTTGTGTCTCCAGGGTAGGTCTGGGTGAAGGCCTCAGGCACCACAGGCTGGGCATCTCTCTTGGGGTGGGAAGGGGCCAGGAGATCGAGAGTGTGGAGAGCAGCCCCTGTCTCCCACCCAGTGCTTCACTGTGACAGCGTGGGGCTCCTGGGGTCAGATCCCACTCAGAGAATGACCCCTGACTCCGACAGACATGGCTCTGACATCCTGGGGAGAGAGGTCAAGGTCGTTTTAAATACAGTACAAGATGGATCCGCGATTCTTTTTCTTACTATTTTTTCATATTTTCTAATGTTTTTATAATGTGTATTTTTACTTTTATTTTACATATGTAATGGAAACGGGATCCTGGAAACTCAGAAAATCCGTGTAGTCTTACCCTCCAGATGGTGGAAGCCCAGGGTGTGGTTGGGTGGGGCTGGGTGCCTCCGGACCAATGGGAGGCCAAGATGTGCTTGTTGCTCATTGCTCCTCTCAGAAATAGCTGTGCCATGCTTTAGGTCCTTTAGTGTTGCCTGGGAGCTTGTTGGAAATGCAGAATCTTAGGCCCAACCCATGACTGCATTTTAGTAAAAGTCCTGGGGATTTGTGTATACCAGTGAACTCAGCCTCCGCTCACCCTTGGTCAAGAGAAGTCCGCCCCTGACCCTGAGTATGGGAGCTGGCCCACTGATGGCTGTCCTCCAGACCCCACACTCTAGTGGGCCCTGTCTGCCCTCAGTATATGCAGTAAACCAGGGGCCCTTGGCATGAGGAGATCTCAGCGCAGGGTAAGGCCCCTACCCCCCAGGGGTTCTCTGGATGGGATGAGGAGCAAACAGGCAGCTAAGGATCTGGTTGGTCCTCAAGGATGTGCCCCTGGCCCACCCAGGCAGCAGCCCCTTGTACCTTCCCCAGCTGAGCCCCTGCGAGGGGACTCTCACTTACTATACCTTGGAAACTTCCCTCATCATCTCCTGCCTACAGCCTGTGCTCACAATTACCCGGTGTCTCAAGTCTCTCATTAGCCTCTTGTTATATGATGCTTTGAGTGAGTCAAGCACTCATACAGAATCATTGAGCCAGTCTGTGGAGGTGCCGGAATTTTAACCCTAGCCAGCAGGTGACATTCAGGTACCAACAGGGGCTCTTGGGGCTCTGAGGAGGTGTGCCTGTTCTAAGCTGGCAGCCTGGGAAAGCTTCCAGGAAAAGGACGGCCTGAGTGGGCTTGGCAGGTTGTTGGAAGAAGGGTGACCAGTATCCAAAGGCAAGGGATGATGAGGCAGAGGTGGAGGGATGGTGAAGGTGTGTGTGTGTGTGAGTGTGTGTGCATGCCTGGGCCCTCTCCTAAATGTGGGGGCAGGCGGTCCCTGACCTCAGTGTCTCTTGATTTCCAGCACAGTGCAAACCCTGGTTCTTCCTTTATATTCCTTTATATGGATTACATAGTGTCTTCACTCTGCAGAAGAAGTACCGGCCCCATTTTATAGGTGAAGAAATAGTCTCAGAGAGCTGAAGTGCTGGGGAGAGGGCAGAACGTCTATGAGAACCCCAGTCTTGGGACCTCCATGCTCTTTGCTTTCTTGAGCATCCTATACCAGTCCAGGCTGAGATGCTCATGGCCTGGGGCCTCAGTTTCCCTCTTGAGCTGGTAGAGGCCCTCTTCCAGCTCCACCTCAAACCTGATTCTATCAGAGACTCCTGCAGGCCCAAGGACCTCCTCCACCTTTCACAAGAGTTTCATCATCTGTAAAGCAAAGCTGATGAGAACACTAACACATAGCAATGTTGTGAGGATTCAAAGAAGGAATGCATGGAAAGTGCTTAGCACAGTGTCTGGTAAGCACTTAATAAATGTTGGCTAGCATTGTTATCCCTTGGGTAACAATGGAGAGTGTGCCTGTTTGGCAAGGTAGAAGGTATTCTGGCAGGCTGGAATATAATTAGATGTTCCCCACCCCTCAGCTGACCACAAGCTCCAGGGGCAGGTGCTGGGCTAGATTCATCTCTGTACCCCCATGCTGGTCCAAGATACCACACACAGCAGGTACTCAGTATAAGTCTTCCGGAATGAAGGAATGGGCAGACAAGGCTTTTATAAGCCATGGAAACCTCTGTTTCAAATGAAATATTATGAGCTCAGCATATATAATATTTAAAAGTGGAGTGGGAATGCTTGTTTTGGTAAGACCTTTAGTGAGATATAATTCACATACCATATAACTGACCCATTTAAAATGTACAAGTCAATGATTTTTTAGTATATTCACAGAGCTGCTCAACCATTACCACAATCAATTATAAAACACTGTTTTAAAAGATTTTATTTATTTCAGTAATCTCTACACCCAGTGTGGGGCTTGAACTCACGACCCTGAGATTAAGAGTTGCATGCTCCACCGACTGAACCAGCCAAGCGTCCCCAATTGTAGAACATTTTTATCACCTCAAAGAGGAACCTCATACTCTTTAGCTATCACTACCCACCCTGGTTCCCCAACTCCTAGTAACTCATATTCTACTTTCTATCTCTATAGATTTGCCTATTCTGGACATTTCATAAAGATAGAATCATATAATATGCAGTCTTTTGTCACTGGATTTTTTCACTTAGTATATTGCTTTCAAGTAGTAATTATCAGTTCCATGATTTGGGAAGTGTTCTATCCTGTTCTATTTTCTGGAAGAGTTTGTGAAGAATTAATATTACTTCTTCTTTAGGGGCACCTGGGTAGCTCAGTCAGTTGAGCGTCTGCCTGGGATTGAGACTCACACTGAGCTCCTTGCTTAGCACGGAGTCTGCTTCTCCCTCTGTCCCCCTCATGCTATCTCTTTCTCTCTCAAATAAATAAATAAAACCTTTAAAAAAATAATTCTTTAAATGTTTGGTAGAATTCACTCGTGGAGCCATCTGTGCTTGGGTTTTCTTTTTTGGGTGGATTTGTAAAATTATGAATTCAATCTCTTTGTGTTATAGATCTATTCAGATTTTCTATTTCTTCTTGAGTCAGTTTCTGTAGTTTGTGTATTTTGTAGAATTTGTCTGTTTCATCTAAGTTATCAAATTTATTGGAATATAATTGTTTGTGGTATTCTCTTACAATCATTTTCATTTCTGTAAGGTTGGTTATAATGTCCCCCTCTTTTTCTGATTCTCCTAATTTGAGTCTTCTCTCTTTTTTTCCTTGGTCAATCTAGCTAAAGATTTGTCAGTTTTGCTGAACTTTTCAAAGAAACAAATTTTGGTTTATTTGACTCCCTGTACTGTTTTTCTGTTCTCTATTACATTATTTTTCACTCAAATCTTTTAAAATATTGTGGTAAAATATATACAACATAAAATTTACCATCTTAATTATTCTTACATATACAATTCAGTGGTATTAAGGACAGTTGACCCTTGAATCATTTCGGTTTGAACGTATACATAGATTTTTTCAGTAAATACAATACAGTACAGTAACTATGTTCTCTATGATTTTTTAAATAACATTTTCCTTTCTCTAGCAAACTTTATTACATACAGTATAGAATACATGTAACACGCAAAATATGGGTTACTTGACTATTTCTGTTACTAGTAAAGCTATTAGTAGTTAAGTTTGGGGGGAGTCATGAGTTATACACAGATTTTTGACTGCTCTGGGGGTTGGCACCTCAAACCCCACGTGGTTCAAGGGTCAACTGTACATTCACATTGTAGGGCAACCATCATCACCATCCATCCATGGAACTCTCTTTTTTTGTGTGAAACTCTGTGCCCATTAAACAATAACCCATCTCTTTCTCTCCCCCAACCCCTGGCAACTACCATTCTACTTTCTGTTGCTATGAATTTAACTACTCTAGGGACCTCATATAAGTGGAATCGCACAGTATTTTTCGTTTTGTGATTGGCTTATTTCACTTAGCATAATGTCCTTAAGGTTCATTTACGCAAGTTTCGAAAGTTCCTTTCTTTTTTAAGACCAAATAATATTCCTGTGTGTGTGTGCGTGTGTACGTGCATGTGTGTAGACCACATTTTGTTTATCTAATTATCCATCAATGGACAACTGGATTGCTTCCACCTTTTGGCTATTGTGAATAATGCTGCTATGAACATGGGTGTGCAGAAAGCTCTGAGTCTTTGCTTTCAATTCTTCATTCTAATCTTTATTATTTCCTTCCTTCAGATTGTTTTAGGTTTAGTTTGCTCTTCTTTGTCCAATTTCTTGAGATGGAAAGATTAGGTTACTGATTTTACATTTTTCTTCTATTTTTAATGTAGATATTCACAGGTATAAATTTTCCTCTGAGCTGCATCCCATAATTCTGTGTGTTGTATCTTCCTTTTCGTTCATCACAGAGTATTTTCTGATTTCCCTTGTGACTTCTTCTGTGACCCACTGGTTATTTAGAAGTGTGTTGTTTAATATCCACATATTTGTGAGTTTCCCAAATGTGTTTTAAAAATGATTCTCCTTTTATTCCACTGTGGTCAGAGAACATACTTTGTATTATTTTGGTGCTTCTAAATTTGTTGTGGTT